ATGGACTGTGTGTTTTGGTGATCTCCCTATCTCCCTTTTATTTTCTGGGTTTTTTCTTTCTTTTTTTTGTTTTTGTTTGTTTATTTTGTGGAGAAAAGCTGAGTTCTCTGTGCTTGAGACACCTTGTGCTGATCCTATGTGAAGGTGACTGTGTAAGCTGTCAGTGGTTTCATTTTCTCTGCTGGGAGTGGCAAGTTTTCCAGCAGAGGCAAGTGGTAGTTTAGCCCTGCCTGTTGCAGAGGCTTTTGAATACAAAGGTGTTTTCAAGGCACAGAGAAAAGAGCTCAGTCTTCAGCTCATCATGTTGTACCTGCAATGCATGGCTGTAGTGCTTTGTGATTTTTGTATTAGTTATTCAGGAAAATTAATCCCAAACAGTGCTGCAGCAGGATTCAAAATATTTTTTGCACCTTACCACAAATCATTCCTTTATTTGCCTTACTGCTTCATCAGCTACCTCAGACTTCTAATAGACTTGTGGTTACACTGTTAATAAAGCACTTTCTGGATAAAAGTTTTCCTGGCTGGTCACCGAATCCATGGGTGCCTGATAGGTACCTTTGCTTGTGCATGGAGTCCTTGGTGATTGGTTTTAGAGGGCAGCACCCAACTCCTCTATTGTGAAATGAAAGCTGGAAAGAACAATTAGCAGTACAACTCTCCAAATGTTAAAATGTAGAGTTGCTTTCTAGAATCATGAGTTCATATCCTCAGGGGTTGACTCAGCCCCTCTGTTGGCAGAGGTGCATTAGATTAGGATTGAGGAAATCTTTCTTACTCTTCTGAAAATAACCATAATAACCGAAGTCTTGTATCCATACTTAACAATCTAATGGCTCTTTGTACTTCTCTGTCAAAACAGCCTGTCTTTCTTCCTTTTTGTCATCTTCTGCTAATAGCGACCTTTATTTACAAATTTAATTGTCTCATTGTTTTTTACATTTTTTAAATGTAAAATTTGTAAATTTTTTAAATTTACAAATTTAGTTGTCTCATTGTGCAGGGTGTTCCTTCAAGAAGTCTCATTCAATATCACAGTCTCTAAGGTAAAATACAGATTAAACAGATTAAAACATGCAAACACCAAGATAGGGAGAAGTTAGACTTCTCTGACAAAAACTGGAGGGAGACACAAGTATGTGAGAACAGTCCCAAAATGATTTTGTGACCTAAAATCTATGGTGCTTCAGTTGCATCTTACGCCAATAGGTCCAAATTTATGTTCTTTTAAAATTATTTACTCCTCATTTTCCTCATCTAGCTCTCATATGTCCTATGTACATAGAAAACTCTGAATTACCTCCCCAAGGAGCCAAGAAAGTATTTTCTTTAAATCTGCAACAGCACCAACATGGTGGTTGTCCACGTGTGTAATAAGTGCAGAATTACAGGAATGCACCTGTGACATGTGAGCAAACATATAAGTATTTCCACAATGTCTGCAGCTGGGATTTTGTAGTACTCACTGCTTTAACCAGTTTAAATAGAGCAAGGCAAGCTTGAACTTAAAAACCCAAATCTGATTTGCTAAACAAGTTCTGTCCTGACTCTTCATCTATATCCTAAATCTTCCTCCAGCTGTTAGTCAAAACAAATGCATAATTAAGAAGAACTACCACTTATTACTGCTTAATTTCCTGATAAAGACATTAAATTAAATTAAAAGGAATTTCCCCAAAAGCCCCCATTAAAAACTGAATCCCTGCACTGACAAGCTATGAGATTTTTTTTCAAAATAGAATAGCAAACAAAACAACGACAACAACAAAAATAAAAATCTACTTTTGGGGTTTTAGATTTGGGCAGTTTAATTGTTGCTCTGTTTCCCTGATAAGGTGAGACTAGTCCCATGTCACTAGGGGAATGGTATCCTGCTGTGTTTTTCCATCCTCATTTACAATGATTATGTTATCAGGCTAGCCAGGCAAAAGGGTGGAGCAACTATAATTTCAAAGCAGGATTAGGTTGAAATAACGAGGTCACCAAGTTGTGGTTGTCATGGCAACGTCACATCTAAGAATATGGGATGCTTCTAGGAGATGAGGCAAGCGTGGAGTCTCTCTCGCTTCGCACAAAATCCCAGACTATTTCTGTAAAATTGCTTAATTGCTTTTAAATGTTTTTTTTTTTTTCCAAAGTGGCTCTTGCTACAACAATGAATAAAAATTGTACTTTTTTTTCTGACAGTGTCTTAAGGATGTGTTTATCTCTGATCTGCTATTGATCCTGTTTTCTTGTCATCTTCTGTGAATGCATTTGGCTGTCTTTAGAAGATCTTTTGTTTTAAATATACAACTTTAGGTATTTCAAACTTTGCTCAGGTGTTTTGATTCCCCTTGAGACTTTACAATCTTTTAGCATACAGGCTTGTCTCTCAGGTCATATCCTGCCCTGGGACCTCCTACACACAAATAAGAATTAGTGTTTTGCTGTTAACTCTTAATTTTCTGTGCTAGTGCTAGCTTTTATCAATTTATTGATGCTGTTTTTTTCTTTTTAAAAAAAGGTTGTTTTGGGTTTTTTTTGGTAGTGCCTGAAAATTCTTATTTTTAAATCCATTATGTGTCAGTGTTTCAAGTTTTATTTGAGTGGTTGTAGAGCCTTGCTTCACCCTGTCACTGCTCATCACAGGCTTTCATGGAAACTTTATGGTACAAACTTCTGACAACCACAGTATGAAGCAGCTGTGTGGTTATGTGTGGTTTATTTCATTATGTAAAAGCTTGCATAAAAGACTTTCTTGCATTATTCTTACCTCTGCTTTAATATTGTGCAACATTATGATATAAATTGCTCAACATACAATTCTAATGAAATCATAGTGATTTTTCTGCTTTTTCTTTGCTAAGCATCTACTGCTTTCAGTATAATGTAGTGTTTAAACAGGCCAGGCTAAGGGATTTGTGAAACAAGGGTGTAAGTTACAAAGAGTGTAAAGGCATTGGGATTATTTGCAGTGGGAGGCCATGGGGTTTAGTATTTAGTTTTTAGAAGCATGGAGGCCTTAATTGTCTTACAATATCTTGTCTAAGTTTTTCTTCAGTGACTGGAGCACTTTTGTCTCTGGGAGTCTGAGCTCCACACTCTCTGCAGTCTCTGTGCTGTACAAGTCTCCCTGATGGTCGGAGTTCCATCCCATTATTTGTGTATCAGCACACTGTTGCTTTTTTCCCAACCTGGAAATGAAACCTAAGATAATTTTAGTAAGGAGGTAATATAAAAGGGGATCTTTATTTGAAGGCCTTTAGAGGCAGTTGTGGAAAGATGACCACAAACCACCCCCCTCCAAGAGGTGAGTACATTTTTATAGGTTTTAGGAAATTAGCATAATTGATAAAAAGAACCAATCAGGAGGACAAGAGGTGATGCAATTCCCCTCCTCCATAGCTGTACTTTGTCCATGAAAATATATCTCGAAGAGCTGTTCTTGGCATTGATTCCCAGGAAGAGCTAAGATGGGATAGGGGCCTTGTACCCCCTGGGGCTTGGAGCTCTGGAATTTGTTTTGTCTTTCTGCTTAGGGAAAGGCCATGGAAAAGTACTGGGAAAACTAGTCACTAATACAATAGATTACAGAGCTACAAATTTATGTGTGAAGAATGCAGAGAACATATAAAAGAAAAAAAGGCAAAACCCAAACGGCATCATAGTTACATGGAACTTAACACAACATAATGGATGTAGAGACCACTACCTTTTCTCAGGTTTTGGTTGAAATCTGCAGGTGGACATTCAGACACCTAGACATGGGGAATGATCACACCAGGCTTGTTTCTACAAGTCTTTTCTACAGGTTTTACATGAAACTGTAGGATAAGAATTCCTACAAATAGGAAACAGACCAAAAAAAAAACCAACAAAAACCCTGGGGTTTTATAATGCTATAAGAAAGATATCTAGACTGACATATATACATTTTCTTTGATAGGGCTTTCAGTTAAAACAGAACAACAATAATAAAATAAGTAGACAGAAAATACCATATTCAACATCATGTTTCAGACAGCTTGGAGAGATGGGAAGAGAAGAACTGTTTAAAATTCAACAAAGGCAAACACCTTTGTACCTGGAGAACCAATACCCTGGGCAGCAGCACAGGCTGAGGGCTGACCTGGCAGTTCTGCAGAGAAAGACCTGGGGGGTCTAGGACTGGAACATCTTTGTTAAAAGGACAGGCTGAGGGAGCTGGGCCTGTTCAGCCTCAAGAAGAGATGACTGAGAGGGGACCTCATCAATGTCTGCCAGAATCTGAAAGGAAGGTAGCAGGAGGATGGAGCCAGGCTCTGCTCAGTGCTGCCAAGCAATAGGAAAAGAGGCAATGGGCAGAAACTGATGCCCAGGAAATTCCAGAAATTCCACCTGAATATGACTAAGAATTTCTTTACTATGTGCGTGACCTTGGACTGGAATAAATCATCCAGGGAGGTCGTGGAATCTCCCTCACTGGAAATATTCAGGACCCATCTGAATGCAATCCTGTGCCATGCGCTCCAGGATGGCCCTGCTTGAGCAGGGAGGTTGGACCAGGTGATCCACAGTGGTCCCTTCCAACCTCACCCATTCTGTGACTCTGTGATACGAGATGCAAGGTCTAAGGGCAGATGGTGTTTTTAGGGAATGCGATTTTCAACTGACAGAATTCCTTCATAGACACAGTATGGACATTTTTTGCTTCCCTTCCTCCCCTTTTTCTCCACTATCCAGTTAGAGCTTGTGAAAAGGGTGGCATCTTGCACTTTGCTGACATGCTGGGGAGTAGGGACTGTGCAAAGCAGACGATTTCTATCAACAGTGAGACTAATTGCTCAGTTCTGAGAGTAAAATGAAACAGAAATCTCAGCTTTGGTGTGGAATGCACTGTTTAACCAACTGGTAACAGAGTACTATTTTCTCTCTGACTTTGGAGGAGGTGTGTGCTATTTTTCACAAAGAATAGGATCTTTCCACGGCAGCCTGGAAGAGCTGTTGAGTAGCCTCACCTGTCTGAACTCTATTTACAGGTCTGCCACCTACATTGGTATATGAAGATAGGAATTCTCCACATCTTTCTTCCTTTTTGAAGATTTCTGTCTTGTCCTAAGAAGAAGTTACAGATTGCCAATGGATTGATTGGTTGAATGTATTTTTTTCTGTAACCTTATGATGTAATATTCTTCACTGTGCTGAAGAACTACCAGGGAGATAAAGAAAAAATTTAAGCCAAATTGTCAGTGGGTGTATCCACCAGATGGTGATGTTCTACCAAATTATTTGCACATTGATCTTGCAGTAAAAAACTTGTCATTTGAGGGAATTCTGATTACTTAAATTTCAGATGAGAGTCTTCCTGTTGCTTGACTGATAACTAGGTTCTGAAAGAGACTATATTTCTGTCTGTGACCAGAACAGTGGACACATAATGGATAAGAAAAATCTGTAGCTTCTGCCATATTGAAACAGGCCAAAAGCTAGCACATTAGGGTCCAGGTTTGCATGGCTACTTTGCAGTTATGGATGACCATAAGCCCTGTTTGACCATAAGACCACAGCCTTGTTTGCCATGTAGGGCAGTTTATTTCTGGGAGAAAGCAAGCATCTAAATGAAAGACTGAGGAGGACTTGTACTGCTATATTGTTACATGGCTCCTCTTTCCTTAGCCTGGAGGAGCATGTGGACGAATGCCAAAGTTTGGTTTGCTGGGTGGGGCCTCATCTGCATCTCAGGCTAGAAAGAAACAGATCTGCTGCATTCACCCTCCCTTTCCTTGGCTGCTTGTTGGGCTGAAGAGCCCTCAGGAAAACTGTGTCATGGAAAGTTACACAATCTAAAGTCTAGCTTTTCCATCTTGGTATACAATAAACATTACAGCAGTTTATGCACATGCACTGCAGCCATTCAGATTGAAAGAGCTTCGCTATTAAAAATTGTTAGTTATTGATTTAATTTGAGGAGTAACTGACAGCAAAATTGGATCCTTCAAAAATCTTCTCCAATTTTATCTAACAAAGTAAAAGGTTCTCAGAAACACAAGGAACGTGTTAGAAAAATCAAAATGATAACTTGTTGGTCTGTTTTGTCTTTGTCTGTTTCTCACTGCCAGTGACACCGTTCACAAGCAGAACTCCAGCGAAGCTATTCTGTAGAATAACAACTACCTGTAAATAGAAACAGTGCTGTATTTGATCCAACAAGGTCAAAAGAGCCAATATACCTGGAAAATTCACTATTTATAATGGGAATGCTCTTCCCAGGACAGAATATCAGTGATGATAATGCTAATCTTAAAGTTAGTTTTGCCAAAGAAAATATTTGCTATTGCTTAAATCCCCACCCCCACCAAAGAAAAAACACAATGAAATCAAAATGCTATTGTACAAAATGTCAATTTCAAATCAGTAAAAATTATTTCTCTCAATGAATGTAAGGATGGTCTGTCTTTTCTGACAGCAACATACTGATTTGGGAGGGTTTCACTTTAGGGAAAATCTCTTGATGAGAATACAAATATAGTTCAGACATCCAGATTAAATTTTGCTCCTTGCCACACACTTCTTGGTAAAGGTGAATCATCTGTGGCCACAGTGCATTTGAAAGGAAATGGGATGATGTTCCTTCTTCTTACCAGCATATTAATTGCATGCTGTGGGTGCTGGCCATCTCCCTCAGTACTGTTAATCCAGTTCTCTTCACGTCCTTTTCCTCCCTGTTCTTAGCCAGGACAGCTGGGACTGATTTTTTTGTGTGGTTGCATTGACACTACAAGCACAAATGTGGTAGTTCTCCATATCCCTTACCACAACAGCTGCTTTCTAGAGCTCACCTGTCTGTGCTGAGAGTTTTATAGATTTAGGTTTCTTTTGAAGCTGAAAAAATAAATGACTGCCCTCTCTCCTAGCCAGTATGGATGGGTCACTTTTTGTTATCACTCTGGTTGGAAACTAGCCTGTATTCAACTCTGCACTGCCATTTGTTGAGACTGAAAACCAGCTCAGTTTGCTGCCACTGGTCTTTAGAATTCACTGTGTCTTGGACTGAGAATTTCTGTGTAACTTTGCAGGTAGCTTTATCAGTGAAATGGCTCAAGGTACTTGGTCTAGACTGTACCAGCTGGGGAAAGCTGTCATATAGGCCTTTCTTTTATACTGTAGAAGTCTATGACTTGTTCACTGAATGGGTTTTCTCCTGTGGCCAAGTGTTTGATGGATGACACTGAACATTCAGAAAAGTGTGAGAGAGCTTGCTGAGTTTTCCAAGTTCTGTAGTGTTCATTAGGAAATTACTGAGGAACTTGCAAAATCTGAAAAATCCAACAGATATTCTGATGCACTCTTGCTATGTGTAGGTGGATGGCACTGTGCTTGCCCTGTGCAAGCTGAGACTGCTGCCAATTTATTCTACTACACACATGGAGTGTTTGAGTGGTGGCCAGAAATGCTTGTAAGCTCTTTGGGATTCTTCAGTATTTGCCTTCAGGTATTTGGTTTTGTTGCATTCTTTGATGGGAACTGTGATCAAAACCTAGTTGTTCTGTGAGCAGCTGTCTTCTTTACTATGGATTGTGTCTAATGATTGGATTCCCTTCTGTCTAGAACCAGTGAAGTTCTGACAGTAGCTTTTCCCACAAGTAAGACAAAAATCACTTATGGAGATTTCCTCTTGTATAGTAAGGATTTAGTTTACATAGTTGAACACTGGTCTCCTCTAACCAGACATTAATTTTAACAAAATGTATAGAAAATTAATATCTCTGAAACCACTGCCCTTCTGTCAAATCTGTTTGAGATTTGCCAAACTTCTGTATGAAAGAAGAGGGCAGACTGAGAGATCAGGAGCCAGACTGTGATTGTATGGTCTTGTTTCCTATGAAACTAAGCTAACAGGGAAGCATTAGATGGATAATCTTCAAACCTGTCCCAGACAAGGGGATCTTGCAGAGGAAATGGTGCTTGTAGTGTCATACAGACTTATCTTTGTGAAACGTATGCTGGTTTGGCACCTAGACTTTAGTGAAACTGCCCAACTAAATTGTTAGTGGGAGCTGTGCCATCTGAGCAGATGGGCATGTGTAGGCAGTCAGTAGTCATGTTTGTTCTTCATTTATGGGAATTTAGACTGGGATTTGAAATACCATGAAGCATAAAAGAGAAAATTCTGGGTAAGTTATCTGCAGGTTTACATCTGAACTAGGTATCCTTGTCCTGTTGCAGAGGGAACATCCTCCTGGTAAGCAAGTCTAGGGCAGCACATCTGACAGGAATAGAGCCCAGATACTTCACACATCTCAGTATTCAGATTTTTCTGTTAATTCTGTCTTACCAATCCATTTTCTCTGGAAAATGACTCTTTAGACCATGTTTTTGCTTTTGAATCCTTTTAATGACTTTCCCATATCAGTTTCATTTCCAGCTTCCTTGCAATCATCTAACTGCATTCTCCTCCTCACTGTAAACACAAGAAATTTTCCTCAAAATTCTAACCTTTTTGAGTGTGTGCATTACTGAGCCAGGCACAGATAAAGTTACAGAGTGCTAGATATCTATCTACGTGTAACCTTACAGTAACGTCCATGCGCATTTAGTCCAAGCTTTCTTCAAAAGATTTAGCCACCACCTCCACTATAGCACCTGGTGATTTTGTGTCATCTATGCTAAGATTTTGGACAGAATGATTATGTCAAACAGGTTTATTTTTTTCACTTTCTGTCTTAATGTGGCTAATATAAGAAAATCTTTACATGCACACCTGGCCTTACTGAAAGCACACGTGTTCTGCAATATTACCAGATAATAGCAGCGGTGAGTGATGAAAGTTTGAGCCTGGCCTTTCATCTGTTTCTGCTGTGTGGTATTACTTTGAATGTCTGCACTAAGAGTTCTGTCTTATTTAGATTAAGTCTTACAAGACAGGGACAGTGTTTTTCCCATTGTGTCACACAACCTCAGCAACCTTGATGGCATTCAAGAAATAAACAATTTAAGGACAATGCTGTTGAGAGATCTGCACCATGTAGAGTGTTTCTGACCCATTTGATGCAGAGGAAATTCTATGCAGGAAGTTAAAGGGTTGGCTAAGGTCAGAGCTGGTGTTTACAGAGTATCTGGCATCTTTCTTAGGCACATGTTAAAACATTTTTCTTCAGATTCCAGAGGAAACCAACAGGCAATATGCATCACCTGCTACACACCTACATGTGTCTAGAGACTTTTTCTCAGATATGGCTTTCCATGGTTATTTCTCTGTCTATTTGTTTGGAAACTTTCTCTCTAATTTATGGGAAATCATGCTAGACTAGGGGAAAACCATATGTTTTGTGACTTAAAAGGGACCTATATAAACATGCTTTTCTCAATTCCTTGCTAATAAATGAATGGATGCACACTTGCACAAGTGAAGTACATGAACAGAACAGCTGTTCTGTTACAAGTTAGGGAAGGGGAGAAGAGCCCAGATGTCCAGAACAGGGTAGTCTGAGCAGTCAGTCGACAGCCTTAATAATTTTCTAGGCAGGGACAACTTGAGAGCTGCCAGAATAACTGCCTGTGGATCTCACCAAGGAGCCAAATACCCTGGCTGAGACTATAATATACAGACTGGCATCTGGGCTCTCTGATTGTCATTAGTCCCTGAACATGACACAGAAGGAAGTGGATAATAGTAATTGAAATGCTCACTGCAGCATTTTAAAAGTAATTATTTCAAATATTTTCCTAAAAAAAAATCTAGCAATTAAGAAAATAATTAAACACATTTTTTTTGAGAAGGCAAAGGCAGTGCTACCAAAGCATTGCCAAATAAAGGCTCCTTCTAAGGGGTTGTGGTTCAAATGTCTGTGTATTGTTTCCTTTGCTTAGATGTTTCACTCCACACTTCTCACCTGCTACTCAGGCACCAAGATAACTTCCATTTATTCCCATAGGCTAAGTCACTGCTATTTGTATGGAGAGAGGCATAATACAGTCAAAGACAAACTGTGGATGTGTGTGGCTGCACCTCAGTTTTCTCTTACGTGCCCTGGGATGCTCTTGTGCTACAAAACTGATGTATCCATTGGTCTTATCTTCAAGAATATTTGTTCTCTCACAAACTTTGCTATTTCCCTTTTGTGAGCAGTCTGGGATGGTGTGAGAGTCTACAGCCTTAGCATGGTTTGAGAGGAATTGGTTCATCCCTGCATCTTTACTTTCTGGTGTGTTATAAAGTGGAACATATTAGACACTAACACTCCTAGCAATAGGTTTCCCATGAAGCTGTGTTAAAATATCTGAAAACCTTGACATTAATGTGTACCTCTAGGTATTATACCTGGACACATGTGGCATGCCTTAGTAGTGAGCATCTGGGAAAG